TAGCCTGGAGTCGACGAGCTGGACCCGTGCGGCAGCTCCATGCAACACCGTCATTCCAAAGCAACGCAGTTTTCTTTATTCAGCAAACAACAAACCTCTTCTATTACGACACATCGATTCCATCGACCGAGTGCACTTCGTTGTGTGGTCCAGCACCGTCGGTCGCCGCTCGTCCTGGATATCGGGACCAGCATCATACAGAACGTTGGCCGTCCCCGTCCTGCCTTGCGCTACGACCTTGGAAAATGAGCGGCGGGATAGCGGAACCGTTTGCTTGTCGAGAATGGCACTCGCATTGATATAGATGCAGGCAATATCGGCTGCAAGGCCGCGTCAATTGCCGTTGCATGGACAACTGTTTGCAGCGACAAATGACAGCGTTGCCAGCAACCGCCGGAGGAGCGCGTTGGCATCACGAGGTCGGGTTGTGCAAAGATCAGCTTTCATGTGGTACATACCACACTATATCTGTACTCTTGCGAGCCGCTGGATGTGCCAGCAAACGAGCGGCGCCAGAAAACCATGGACGGCGCGAGCATATCCTGGTATAATCTAATTGGACCTGGGATTGGCCGACTGACCGTACGGTACGTACACGTAGTACAATACACAATGTACTATTACATGAAATGTACGGCGCCAAACAGAAGTGCTCCAAGATCGGGATCGCGCACGGCGGCTTGGTCATCGTTGGCCCGACCCACTTGGAGCGAGGGCAGCGAGAGCCAATGTATCGCGCTTCACTCTGACCGTGTGCTCTTTTTCACAAAGTCTCGTCTTCTCTTGTAGAGCATGTCAATGTCAATGGACCCAGAGAGTTACATAGGGACATCCAGTTACTACGAGACTCGACAATCTAGAACCGACTGCACTTTGCATCGTGTGCGCTGTGGAGGAGGCAATGTGGCTGGCGTGGCGGTGCCGAGAGGGCATTGCGCGAGTCCAAACTGCAGCATTTGTGCCACATCTTGCGTGGTAATGACACGAATATGCATCTTCCATGTCGCTTTGTAGGAGCAGACTGGACGACGCGTGTGCATGGTGACTTCTCTCACGGTCCTTGCTTCGATAACCAAAGAGCGATAGAATGTCCGCTGTCGACTCGACATGGCTTGGCCGAAATAGAGTATGTCGACGACCGATCCATCTATCCATATCCATCCATACTACCGAATCGACGCTGGGTCTTCTTCGCTCTCTTTCCGGTACCGCAGAATGGAAGCGAGGGCTAGTCAGTATGTAATTGTCGTGCACCCAGAACGCAGTTCGAAGTGGAAGCAGCCGGAACCAACTGCATTGAACCTCAGCCACGATACACACGCTCAATAATTGCACGCACAAAGGCGCGTCGTCCGCGACAAGCAAGCACGGCACGGTGCGCTCTGTACTTGCCATGAAGCTGCCCAGCGTAGCAGCTGCTGCTGACCCGATTCAAACATATCAGGGTGCGGCGGCTGAGAAATCGAGTACTGGATTTCTGAGCGATTCTGTGTGTTGGTTCTGATCCGACGTCATCGCGACGACGTCGCCGCTGAGTCTGTCTGCCTCGCGCCACACCGTTCCTTCCGCTCTAAGTCCTCCAGACGTGCTCACAGAGACAGCGTCGTCCGACCAAGTGCTTGGGATAACTAAATGGTTAAATTACTAAATAACTACTAAAAGGATGGGATCTACACTAGAAGGAGGGCTCTACTCGGCGGCGAGAAGGCGCGCGACATGGTACGGCGTTGGCGCTTCGAGCAAAAGCACTTGGACAAAGGTCTCGAGGAGGCAGCACATTTGGTGCAAATACTTGATGTCGAGCGACCGGAACCACGTCGAGCGGTCCAGCACGTCCTTCCATGCGCGGAGGCTACGGCGGTTGCCGTTGATCTTGAGCGTGTTGACGAAGCGCTTGAACGCTGCGTAGCGCTTCCAGACCGTGTGCGTGGCGTCGCCGAGGCAGTACTGGATGCAGTACTCGGCGTGGCGATCGCTGCCGTCCGGCATCTCGACGATGCGGAAGCTGCGCAGCGTGATCTTGGCGCCGAGCGGGCGGTGCGGGCTCAGAAGGCGCATCCACGGGTACGCGCACTCACCAAACGGTGTCTCATACAGAAGGCCCGCGAGCGGCTCGAACGTCTTGAAGACGTCGCGCTTGCCGTCAATGCCGCCAGAGTACAAGAGCGACTGGAGGTCGCTCGCACCAAACGCTGCGACGCTGTTGGCCTGAAGCTGGTTGTCTTCGTCAATGTCTTCAAACCAGCCCCAGCCGCCGTCGTCGACATCGGCCGACGTCGGCTCGTCGACGACGTTCGCATGCAGATCGGTGTAGATCTCATTAAGACTGGACCGGATCGAGTTGACCGCGCGCTGGACGCGGCGGTCCGTGTCCGAGAGCGCACCGTCCGAGTCGACGGGCGCTGACGACGACCGGCGCACCTTCTCGGTGGGCGGGCGCGCAGTGGGCGACGCGAGCGCGGGCTTGATGACGGTCGTCGTCGCTTGCAGGAAGGGGTTCATTCGCACACCGCCGGTCGAGAGCATGCTTCTTCGAGGTGCATGTAGTGGTGGAAGGTAGAGGTTGAGTCGTCGACCAAGAGCTTGGTCTTCTCGTGCTTGGAAAATGAAAGAAGTTGCGAGCTTCTCAGGCTGCCACCTGGTGCGCGCTTCATCTTGGGTTCGGTGCCGCGTGTTGTGTTACACGAGTTGTCCCAGAGACCTCTCTCCCAACTGCTCTCGGGTTAACCATGTGGTTTGTATACGAGAGTCTCCTGGACTCTCTTTCCGCGCCTTTGTGGAGAGTCGACGATGCACTTGCGTATAGTATGGTATACACATGTCAAGTCAAAGTCGCAACGGGGTGCTGACGACTGCAAAACCACTTGGGCGTATCCGGACTCGTGCTTACGTTTGCAGTGGTATTCGATTGGTATCCGGACGCGAGTAGCTCGCGTTTGAAGTTCAAGGTTTGGTCGGGGTGGGCGCGTTGTATGAGCGTTTGTATAGGCGACTTGCAGTTCGCAAGTTCAAGGCGCGGCTTCAACCCGCTTCCTACGCCTGTCCCACCCGTCGCCGTCCCACGCCGTGAGCTCGCGCGTCCTGATTGGACCTAAAGGGAGCGAACTTGGCGGCGATGGCCGGCGTGTCATCCGTCAACTCAAGGGCAATCGCGCAAGGTTGGACAATGGCCACGATCCGCGAGATAGAAAGAAGATCCGAATGTCGTGTCAACGGCGCCTCTGGTCCGCGCCCGGAGGCGAGATACTCCTCGCCACAAGAAGCGTGCGCTGCCACCTCGTGGTGGTGGCGGGGCGACGAGATGTTGCGCGACGCACTGCTTGAGCTCACCACTTGCAGCTACCACCGTTGTCGTCGTCGTCGTGATCTTGGCCGCAAGCGACTGAGAACGACGGACGATAAAGACAGGTCGACTGACGCACGCGTTACGCAGCGGGAGCAATGGAATCTTGGTTACCGGTACACGGCTTTCCTTCTCGCAGACCAAAGGGCATTGAATTAGACCTGTCGTGATCACGACCGCTCGTTGCATAAACCTGGCGCCAGATAAAATTGCGTGCGCTTGGACAAGGTTGTTTTAAGGCGAGAGCAATGGAGATGGATGGACTAAGATTTGGTGCATGTAGGTGCTCAAAGCAGTGTCTTTGTACAGGCTATTGAGGAGGATGCGAGCCACCCAAGATAGCTCCCACGACGCAGAAAGAGGGCAGTACGATTGTCGTCGTGTCGAACCGCAGTAGCAAGAGCACGACGGGCCGATTGCGCGAGGCTCTGGCCGAAGAACCGACATCGTTGGATACGCATGCGAGTGTACATTGCATGTGCTTTGGAACGCAAGCAAAGTGCTACGACATGGCGCAGGCGTAAGGCCGCGACACGACTGCGGGTCGTGCCCCGCTCGCTTGCCCGCCGACCGATTGGCTTGGCAAATTTGAGCGCCAGCATGAGATTGAGATCCGGCAGGAGAACCCCGTCGCACGCCAGCGCGGCATACTGATTCCAGTCGATCGCATGTAGACCGACTCTGTGCATGCGCTCGTTGGCGACCGTCTCGATCGCCAGAAGGAGCGACAGCAGTTTGCTGTGTCCCGCAACACCAGCAGCTATTAGCGCTGAACCATTATTGTGATAATCAGCATTTTTGTCGCCCCGAAATGGGGTCTAATTCGTTGACGTTGTTTTCTACCGGATGCTGCCGGACGAATAATTCGTCCATCCGCCCTGATAATTCGTCCGGATGGGCGAATAAACAGCTCAGATTAGGCTCAAATCCGCCAAAAACGCTGATTATCACAATATACACAAATTGTACTATGTGAGAGTGGAGAGTGTTTGGCGAGAGGCAGCTGCGAGAGGCATGACAACTTCAATGGCAGCATGCGAGTGAGCGAGAGGACTCGAGAGACGGGCAAGAGGCGGTAGTATTACGTGTCGCACGCCATGCCGACGAGCCCGCGCAAAATGCAGTCGCGAGTCGTGGTCATCCACGCCTCTGCCAGAGCATGTGACGACACGCTACGCAGCGCAATCGTCTCAATGGCCCATATCTGTCCATGTACGCTCGAAAGCGATGATGCTACAACCGTTCGCATCTGCATGATAGCGGTTGTCGATCTTTCACTGGGAGAGCGCGACAATTTTCGCTGTTCCAGGTTCTTCTCTGTACTAGTAGTCGACAAACTGTGTACTAAGGGAAGTAGTGGACAGGCAATGACATCGACCGGGCACTGCGGTATGGGCGAGTGTGTAGTGTGGAAGCAGTCGCCACGTCGACTTCCTCCCGAGCTACTTCGCAACGTTACGATTCAGGCCACGTTGAGAGCACACGCTGACATCGTTCATGCAGCAGATTAGCAGGCATCGTGATTTGAGTAGGCCCTAGATGCCATCACAGCCAAGACTCCGAGCATGCCAGGATCACGAAAGCCAGCGACTGCATGCATACATCGAGAGGGCGTGTTCAGACGCTCAATCGCTATCGGAATCGGACCCATAGTACCTATCAAGCCCACCGTTCCACGAGTAGTAGCCGCCGACCGGGTCAAAATGCATGTCGTCGGTCGTGTAGTCGTCGTCGACTCGACGCGTCGCGGTGTGCTGCGTCTCGTGCGTGCGCCGAGCCTGCGCAGGCCGGTCCGTCGCCACGTCGTCTTCGCGCTCGCGGCGGCGGCCCGAGGCCACGTACGCTTGGAACTCGGCGATCGCTTGCTTGAGCGTGTGGTTGGGCAGGAGCGCCTTCGTCGCCAGTTTGCAGTTGGTGATCGGACTCGTCTCGTGCGTCTGAAGCCACTTCGCGATCTGCGCGCGCTCGTACGTATGGCCATCGCTCGCGACGACGGGGTCGACCATCATCTCGTGACCGATCGGGCACCGGAAGGACGCAAGACTCGCCATCGCTCAATCTCAATCGACGAAATATTCTTAGAGGTGGTTTGTATCAGTATTTGTGGACCAATGAATGCCGCGTATCTCTTGATACCTCGGTATGATTGGTCAAAATAAGAAAATTTACCCAATAGCGCCTTCGGACGTGTCAAGTGCCCACAAGCTTCCAGAACCAAGCAGGAGCTGCTAACGTTAGATCAGTATTGCCCACTGCAGGGCGACTGCGTCGTCCGAGGCTTGAACTTTGTCTATGCGAGAGAGGAACCCCGCTATGTGTGCCAATACCGCCGGGAAGGCAGTGCTTGGAGGCTCGCAAAAATGCATGCCAGGATGTGGCCGATCTCATCTTACTACGTACAGTATATCTCTACGATCGACTCTCACGGCCGTATGCACGGCGCCACTGGCTCATGCAGCTCAAGGTCGATCACCACGGCGGCCGGAGGCAGGAGATGCATGCACTCGGGGTCGCTGGCGGCCTCTACGGGTGCGACGACGAGCAGACGCAAACCGACGCCCACTAGGATCGCGGCGCCACACACGGCGAGCGTCGTCGTGTTGAGACACACTTGGTTGACAACAATGAACCCGCCAAGAGCAATCGGGATGACCATGGCGACGCTCAGCGCAGGCGTCGAGAGGCCCACTAGGCAACATGTCATCGCACGTTTGAATCTCTTCGTCAGCGCATTACCTTGGAAGGGACGGGGGAGGTCGGGATATGTGTAGCGGAGGCGCAAGGCGGCTACGCTCTCCACCAATTGCGTCAGCGACGAGAGGCCGTTCGTGATCCCCAAAATCGTGCTAAAGTCGACGAGACACATGCCGACGCTGATGGCGAGGATGCAGAGAATGGCTCGGTGCGGTGTCCCCGCGGGCCCCGTGCGCCTATTTGAGTACCTGGTGCGCACAGTCTATGAATTCAACGTACTTGGCAAAGCAAACTGGCGCGAGACCCATGTCGGCCATGCCGGCGAGGCGGTACCCGTTGGCGGTCGTCTCGGCCAAGTAGAGCCCAAAGCTGCTGGCGGTGTTGGAGAGCGCGATCCATGTGCCAAGACCCGCACCGCCGATCGCAGTCGCAATGACTGGGTACCTGCCATCGCTCCACGTACGGTAGTCGGGGTCGTTGACGCCCGCGGCCGCCAATAGTGGCAGCAAGTACGATGCGATCGTCATCGCCAGCGCCAAGCCCATTGCCCGCGGAAACGTCCGCGTCGGGTCGGCGACCGCGCCGGCGTACGCGCCGGTCGCATCAAAACCGCGAAAGTTCCAGCAAAGGAGACCAAGCAGTTGCGTCCAGTTGGGGTCTGGCCGCATGACCATCCAATTGGCGACGTCCATCCGGGGCAGCGCTACGACGCAGAGAAGCGCGAATGGCGTCAAGATGAAGACCGAGAGGTACACGAGCGCATGGCCGACGAGCTGGATGCCAAGGAGCGACGGGATCGTAAAGACCAATGCGACGCCGAGGCGGTAGAGCGTACGTGGCAGCCACGCCACGTCGGGCGAGACAAACGTGTCGACCACCAAGCAAGGGTAGACGGTCGCGTCGACGACGCTGGCGAGCCAGGACCAGTAGCCGACGAAAAAGCCCATGGAGGGCCCAAGCGCGAGGCCGACCCACGTGCAAAAGCTGCTGTCGACGGGAAACGCGCTGCAGAGCTCGGCAAAGAGCATCGTCGTCGGGAATGAATAGACGATGGGAAAGACGAGCAGCGCTACAAGTCCGATGAGCGGCCCGCACGACGAGACGAGCGCTTCGCTGCCGAACGGGCCGGCGCAGACGCTAAAGTACGTGAGCAGCGCGACGGCGACGACGCCGAGGTCGCGCCTCGAGGCTTCGAGGTGCATGGTGCTGCTGCTGCAATGCAAGGTCAACTAGGCCGCACGTGGTATCCGGCTCAAAGATACGCTGTCCTACTTTGACCATGCAGTGTAAATTCGGACTTGTAAGCCTCGCTTCAGGGCTTTTGCCTTATTTTAGTCTCCGATCAGGATTTAGGTGTGGGATCCACAGCGGCCTTGTCCGCGCAGAGGGCATCCCCGAGCGATCGGTGAAGCATCCTTGACGCCTCCGTGGGAACTCTCAGCGGGTGGTCGGCGTTCGAAGGTACACTGTACTACCATTACCGTTGGCGTTGGCGCTGATGTAATGGCGCCTAATTAGGATACGTGGCTATTTGGGTCACATCTAAAAATAGGGTTTTTTGATGGGCATCGGGCATGGTTTGCACTTGGCATCCGGCGTTCAACGTGACGAGCATGCGATCGTGGATGCTAGGACCATTGCTGCTGCTGGGCGGGGTTTCGAGCCTGCGCTTTGATGGCTGGTACAACTGCAGCGAAGGCACGTTCTGGTCGCGCCGGGTACCGGCATCAGCGCGCCTGCTCGAGGAGCTCGTTGCGCCCTTCGCCGATGTGAGCGCAGTCCCAGCAACGGCGCAGTGTGGCCTGTATTTTTTGCCGCTGTGCTACAAAGGTGTGTGCACCAGTGACAAGTCAATTCCCGTGTTTGTCAAGCGCCTGCCGGCCACGAGCTCGCCTCGCACGGCCAAAGTGCTTTGGGTTCTTCAGGGCGGCCCCGGCGCGTCGTCCGTCAACAGTAGGCAACCTACTCAGCCCACGTCCCTCGACACATGCGATTGATGTATAGTGGAACCGCTCATGATCGAGCTTTACGAGCGACTGCAGCGGACAGTCACGGTCATGACGATGGATCATCGGGGCACGGGCCGCAGCTCCCGCCTCGAGTGCCAAGCAGCCCAGGCCATGACACGCGGAAGCCCAAGAGGCTCCTCGATTGCGATATCCGAGCTCCCCGACTGCCTCCGTGATATCAACTTTGTCTACGGTACACTCGTATTTCAACAAACATGGCATCAGGAACGACGTCTAGGCGCTGGAAATGCTGCTGGTTTCTCGGTCACGAGCGCGGCGCGCGATATCTTGACCGTCGTCGACAGTGACCAGTCGAAACAAGAGGTAGATGCATGTGGCTTTCCCACCTTTGCATTAACCCTTCTCCTTCTAGGTCTACTTGTACGGTGTGAGCTACGGAACGCTCTGGGTCGAGCGCACGATAGCGATTCAGAACGCACAGCCAACGACGGGCGCCAACATCCGCGGCTACGTCCTCGACGGCATTGTGCCCCATTCGGGCCCTGTCCGCCTCTTCTTCCACGACTGGGACCGCGATATGAGCAACGTCGGCGTGCAGTTTCTCGACTTGTGCCGACAGGACGCTTACTGTCGGTCGAAATTCACCAACCAGACACTGCCCGCCACCGTTGCAGCGCTGTACCGCGACGTGGCGGCCGAGAGCACTGGCTGCGCGTACGATGTGATGCACGACACTGTGTGACTCATGGTCTTGTCGCGTAGGACGCTAGTCAACACCGAGTTGGGCGGTCTCGGCGGACTGAAAACCATCTTTGGCTCGCTTCTCATGCATTCGACGTTGCGGCTCCTCATCCCGATCGTGGTATATCGCCTCGCGCGCTGTCGGTCCGACGACATGGAGGTGGCTCCGACGACTTGTAGTGGCGTTGATGGACGACGATCTATGCACAGGTTGTCGTTCGAATCTTCGATTTCTTGTCTGCGCGCGGCTACTTGGGCACCAGTGACGACGACGACGACGCGCTCGACTCGGAGATTCTCTACGCGACGGTCGCCTACGGCGAGATGTGGAACAAGCAGGCGCCGCCTTCGTACGATTCGATCAAGGAGGTAGGCGCCTTGTAGATGCGACGCGGTGTGCACACATGCATGCTAGCAATTTGAGTCGGGGGTCATGGGGCTCAAGGAGTACACGCAGTTTCCGTACTACTGCATGTACACGGCATCAACATCGAGCGACTGCCTTCGGTTCACCGTACGTCCCCATCGTTCTGCAACCTCATACAGGTGTATCGTCGCGACTAGGCTTCGCTCAATGTCTCGTGGAGCTATCCGCTCGACCGCTACGACAACCAGCCGGTGCGTTTTCGAGCCAGCCCTTCACTAGTCAATACGCTACTGTAGCTGCGCATACCGAAAGGCGCGAGTGTGCTGCTCCTGAACGGCGGTATGGACCCGCAGACGCCACTGCACGCGGCACAGAGTCAATTCGAGCAGCTCCAAGGGACACAGAAGAAGCTCCTGACGTTTCCGTACGCCCCCCACGCCATTTCGTACGTCACGTGGATGCACGGGGTACTGCCAAAACGTCGTATTATCAAGACGACGTCATCATGACTGTGAATAGCGCGCTTCGACGTGTGGCGCAGAGCTCATTCTGTCGTATGTACGCGTCGGCGGCGCGCTTGCTGCGCTCGACACGTCGTGCACGAGATATGTTTTGAGGTTCACATTCGAGCTCACGGCGGCGTCGGGCCGGCTCCTCGCGGGCGTCAACGACCTCTACGACGGCGTCCCGACAACAATCTCTGTGCCCGTCAACGTCACCAAGCTGGAACCGGTGACACCACCTCCGCCCACCACCATGCCATCAACCACAAATTCGACGTCGATCGATGTGGGCGCGTCGCCCGTTGCCACGTCTTCGGGTGGTCATTTCGGGGATTCGATGGCGGGGCTCTTTGGCTGTCTCTTTGTTGTTGCCGCCGTCGTGGCCGTCAAGTTGTACCGTGAGAACAAGGCGCTGCGAGAGCTGCATGTTGAGCTTTGTGATGAAGCGGATAACGCCGCCTAGGCCAGCTAGTAATAGTGCACAAGGAACGTCGCTGGGTAGAAGACTGTTCATCACATAAACCCGAGTAGTTCCGTGAGCGCTTCGGTCGCTGGCTCGGGCGACGCGATCGCAGCGTGCGGGCGCTTCTTTGTGGGGGCCGCGGCCGGTGGCGCTGTCGTCTCGGTCGCCGGCGTCGTGTCCATTCCGTCGCGTCCACCAATCACGTCCGTTGGGACGCCACGTCCCATTTTATTGCCGACACACACACGCTTGCGTGACGGCATCGCATCATCGACCTCACCGACAATCTCACCAAGATACTGCTAGTTGCTCTTGTGTCATTTAGTAGGTCGACGCTCAACGGCGTCGGCATCACACTATTAGTGTTGGCACAGGGACGTAGCGGCCTGCAGGAACTCGCCACTGTATCGAGAGACAACGCTCAGGGCCAAAATCACATGCAGTTCTTATATTATCATCGAGGGTGGAGACGCCCTACTTGACGGAGATCGAGTCCGACATGACGGCGATGAGGTCTTCGGACGGAGCTTGGATCTCGTAAGCGCAATGGGCCGCAAGCGTCTTATGGTAGTTGCTCAGGAGCGTTGTCGCCGCCGTGTACGCGACGGGCGCCGGGGGGTCCATGGCGGCGCGCGACGCCGGAAAGCCATTGGCGGCAGCCACTGGCGCCGGCGCCTCGGCCCACGCAGCGACGATCTCGCCGCGCTTTTGGTTGGCCTGCTCGACTTCGAGCGGCTCGGGCACTTCGGAAATATCAATGAGCGCATGGGCCGTCTTGTCGACGATCGCGAGCCAGCGCTCGGCTTCGGTCAAGTGCTTCTGCGTCGCGCTCATCGACTGTGAGCTGTTGCGGTTCATGTCCGACTGGAGCTCGACGTTCTTCTCCATCTAACAATGTCGTGTGAGGATACCTTCGTCGTGGATGAGGATACCTCAAAAAAGTGCTGCAACGAGCGGTCGTCCGTGATCCCCGGGATCTGCAAGAGGCCGTCGAGGTACTGCTGCAAGCCAGCTTGACGCTTGGAGAGGAAGCTGGGATCAAAGCTACGAAATCATCGTCAGCTTGCGGCTCCATCGAGCCAACACAAAGAGGCGGCAAAATGAAGCGAGCGTCTCAGTCGATGGACGAGCCGGGACGCGCCAACGAGACGCGTACCGCGACCACGCGTGTTTGGGGCCACCGACGCTTGCAGCGCCAGGAAGATGCGATCGAGACACGGCCAGCTTGAGATAAGATCAAGCGATTTGACATTCCTCCGACACACAACAGCGTGTCGTCCTCATCCTTCGTATCCACATGGCCGGCCGCTGGACGTCTCGATCGCACCTTTCGCTGGCGGCGCACGCGGCGGCAAGAACACGGCGCGGCCACGATCGCACGCGCCTCGCGACGACGCCGTCCCTCTCCCCAGAGTGAATAAATCATGGCGGGTCCCGGCCATCCAGCGTTTCATCCTTGACGCACCGCATCTGCCTATCGGCGCATGCAACGTACCGGCCAAACCATTGCTTCTCGGGCAGCCGCACGCGGAGCTCGCTCTGGAAGACGCTCTCGAGGCGGCAGTGGAGCTGGTCAAAGTCGCTAAAGCGGCGCGAAATGAGCCAGACGACGCCGCTGCAGCTGATCTAGGAGCGCAATGAGCGCGGTGAGCGCATCGGAGGCTCGCGAACCTGGACGATGAACTCGGTGTGGTCGCCGACCGTCTCGTTGCCCGTGATGAGCGCGCTCACGTTCATTTCGCTCGTCGCTCGCTCAGAACAAAGTGGGGCAAGTGGCGTTCTACGGATAAACATCCGGACAAGCGTAGTCGACTCATCGACTCAGAATGGACTAATCGACTAATAAACTACATATAATCGACTGATCGACTAATCGACTACAACGTCGTACGACTTTGCCGTTGCAAATGCACGCAACGATGAAAACTACGGACAGACCGTCAGCATTGCACCGAGCGGCAACGAGAACATGCGAGGAAGCGTGCGCGGTGGCCACCAGCCTGCCTGATGCCTCGCGCCATGACGAAGGCGGCGCGCTTCGTCATACTTTTGCAGTGTCGTGGTAGGTTCGCGGTATTAGCAAGGCCTGGGTATTAGTAGTCTACTATACGTATATATTATAAGACGGTGGGCACAAAGGCGCGAGCCCAGGAAATCACCTCGTGGCCTCGAGTGTCGATAGCTGCGGACCAGTTTATGCACGCACCAGTCGCACGCCATCTGGCGCGATGTGCAAAGATGCGAACGAAATCCCACTTTCTCACTAAACTACGATCTGAGCGCATTCTCGCATTTGCAGCATGCAGCTCTTCCAGTCCTTACTCCTTCTCGTCGTTGCGTCTGTGGCGGCACTCTCGCCCGCGTACAATGCGACACCGGCGCTACTGCCCGCGTGTACCGAGCCCGCGCCGCAGTCGTGTGCGTTCTACAACGCGTGTCTTGAGGTCGCCCACCCGTGCGGCGCGCAAGGCTACGCGCTTGGCTTTGGCGAGTTTTACTGCAACAAGTTTGCGGCCTACAAGGACAAGTTTACGGCAAACGGCCAGCAGTGGATGTACAACACGATGACGTGCCTCCAGAAGAAGCTCGGCGTCGCGCTCAAGGACCCAACGATGACTTGCGACGCGATCAAGACGTTTGCGTTCGACTCGCACCCCGAGTGCTACACCAACAACGGCGGCCCGAGCGTGTGCGAGCTGAGCCCGCTCAAGGACTGGACCACGGTGCTCCGCGTCGTCGGCCTCAAGACGCTCTTCAAGCTCGACACGATCAAGAACGGTGCGTCGACGGGCCTTGTGTGTATGCACCAGCTCCTCTCGTGGGCCAAGAAGCTTCCGTCGACGACCGACGACCCCATGGAGCCCAACTTGGACTGGAATTTGTAAACGAACTTTTCCAATTCATGACATTTACCTTCTACAAAGATGCCACTGTTTTCGGGTGGACACCTTGTCTGCAATTTTGCGAAAAGGTGCCGCATCAATACAAGCATATACTACCACGATATTATGCTCGGAACCCAGCATTCGTTCTTTTCGTAGTACATCGGCTCGCACATCGACAGCTACCATTCAGCCTGATTCAGCGTGGTTGGTCGTATTCCAAGCGCAAACGCCCGCCGAGCTGCCACGTCATATGAAACC